GCCCCCGCCCTCGCCGTCGCGCCGCCGCGCACCGGCTGAAGCTGTATATTTCGTGTTTAGTCACGGGACTATGTACGGACATAGCATACCGTATGCAAAACAGAAACATTTCTTAGTTATGAATAAGTAAGGAAACTTCATAATTAATGTTGGTTACTATATTAATGGTAATTTTAAAAATTATAGTGGTTTAATCAAAGCAGTCTTAATAGCCATATACAATATTCTTAAAATAGTAATTATGATTTAAAAAATAAAAACGGTGACTTTGATGAAGTATTGATTTAAAACAAAATGATTAAAAAAAAGAGTAGAATGCACAGTAAATAACATTGAATGTTTTTAAATTTGAATAAAGAAATCAAAGTACTTAAATTTTTCCTAAAATTAATAATTCAATAAAAAAGATTCTAGACATCTTCATTAATTTAAAATAACTTATATGTAACATTTTGGCATGACCAAACAGTACTTGTGCAACAAGGTTTAAGGTTATGATATTGCGTTTTGGTTGGTTGACACTTAGGTAACTTGGATACATTTTTGAAGAATAGACCAGGGTACAAGGACAACACAAGGTCAGCAACATGCTGAGAGGCAAAACTGGACATGGGGAGCCACACACTACCTCTCTACACTGTCACTGACACATCAAAAATATCAAAGTGACTATAACCATGTGCAATAGGCAATATGCATAAGACATCAAATTGGATCAAACTGTTTTTAAGTAGACTTATCACAATCGCTGATCGAAAAGTCAAAAATGTATGGAAGTGACACATTTTGTTGATTCTACAAGCGACATTGTTAAACAAAAGTCACTTTGGCAAAAGGGGAAAGATGGCTACAAGAGTGACTGTAGCTGAAATAAATGTTTATTCTTATGTAGGTATGGGTTCCAAATGATTTTGATACAAAACAAATGCATTCTTTGTAATACAACATTACATCCACATTGGCATGTTATAGGGAACTGTATCATTGACATGTGAAAAGAAGAATATTAGTTACTAGCTGTTGCCTACAACTTTGTACTCTGTATTAGAAAACATATGAACTAATAATTGAAAAGCAAAAACTATGTATCCCTCAGGCACCACACATTTGTCAGGGATGACCCATAATCCATGTGTTGCACCAAATTTCAATAACATATGTTGAACCATTGCAGACTTATAAAGTTAACATAAAAAAACGAAATTGATGTATCTTACGGGAACCAAACTATTTCCAGGATCAAAAGTAGTCTATGTGTTTTTACACACTATCCTCTACATCTATGGCAAATTTGATCAAGATTTATTCAGACATTTAGGCCACAAACTCTAACAAACATCCATCCATCCATTTATTTTCACATTTATAATATTATAGTAAGAAACAAGATAGGCATATTGTTGTAGGGAAATAATAGTTAGTAGATATTTTAACAGTGGTAGATTCCTCTAGAGTAGATCACCAATTTTCTCACTGAATGGAGATATCTGCGGATAGAGGCCACTTTACTATTAAAATAAAGGCTAAAGCGACATAAGGTGAATCACAGATTTAGTGGGACGAAGGCGAGATTACTTGAAACACATGTTTTATGCATATTAACAAAAGTGTTAATGTTGTGGTATAAAAGTAAAGAAAAATTGTACAATTCACTTGCCTTTGCCACTTTATGATTTCTAAGGATCAGCTGATAAGACAGTATCTGTAGAAACTCATTTTATTGAATATATCACAAGATAAGTTTTACTTTTGATAAACAGGAAACTTTTGAAACATCACTTAGATATGACACCGATTTTAACACGCACTTAAAAAACCTTATTTATTTGTTTTTTATATATAAGGAGTAAGTGCTGCTTATTTTTTAAATAAAATAATTTAAAGAGCACAGTAAAACTTTCTCTGTTGTGCTTGACAATTGACAATGACAAATGGTAGACAAATCTTTCAATGTTGACATCCCAAATACAGAGGATACCAGATTAGATTAAAAATACCTAGTATTACGTTACCTGTTCTGTGCAGTGACTCTGTGGTCTGTTGTTAAATTATTTATTCTCTGTCTCAGTCAACGGTGACGTTTTACAGTTTTGAATTGGTTCATGAATTCACAATGCCAAATTGCCAAATGGCTAAATCAAATGCCAATGCCGAAACTACCGTATATTCACTTTGCCTTTAGTCGCCTCGTCCTTTGCACTATAGTACATTTTACTGCGTGTCCCCTGTCTAAATCGATGTGTTTTTATAATCCCGCCCAAGTTTCTATCGTCTTATATTTATGATATTTAGGAAAGGAATTGGAATATTGTATTTTATTATAGTATAACATTATTTATTCTTACTAAGTACTTGATCATAAATAAATGTTATGACGTATTTTATTATCATGGATAGAAAGCTACGTAGAAGAAACGAGCAGTATTGTGATAGAAAAGTAGTAATTGAAAGCAAGTAAAAAGTAATATAAATGGGGTACTCGGGTGGGAGAGGCGAGGCCGCGACTGTGGTGGCGCTGTGCGTTGCCTGGTACTCGCTCAGCTCGGCCAGCAACGTAGTGGGCAAGCTGGCGATGACCGAGTTCCCGTTCCCGCTGACGGTGACGATGGTGCAGCTGCTGTCGGTGGTGGCGTTCAGCGCGCCCACGTTCGCGCTCTGCGGCGTGCGCCCCGAGCCGCCCTTCCCGCGCCGCTACTACTGGCGCACACTGGTGCCCCTCGCCTTTGCTAAGTTTTTTACCACCATGTTCTCACAGGTCTCAATATGGAAAGTACCCATTTCCTATGCACACACAGGTTAGTATGTTTACTATACATATATTTTTTTTTAAATTTAGATTATTAAATAATAACATGGATCTGAAAACAACATTTTAGTGCTGAATTTTGATGCTTAATAATTTTTAGATTAAGAGTACTATAGTGAACTTAATTTTATATGAATTTATCGGAACATAGTATTAACTTGAGAACATACATTGAAATAGTTGTAGAATTGTTTGACATATGTTCGTAATATATGTTTTAAAGAAAAAAATCCTGAATTAATCTGCACTAAGCCCCTACAAAGGTTTGTCAAATGTCATGTAAAACCAAATCATTTAATGTAGTTAGTGTCTATTTTAAATTTAACATTATCACACCATCACTATAGGTTCCACTGAGGGGCTAAGAGCCTGTCCTGAGTTAGGGAGACTAGGCCTTAGTCAACCATGATGGCCCACTGCGGGTTGGTAGATTACTTCACACATATATTTAAATTTATTTGTGATAGGTGCTGGTTGTATCACAATTTTATTCTTCACCATCAGAACATTAGATAAACTAAGTACATATGAAATTCAAAAATTGATAATCACATTGGTACATGGCAGGATACAAACCTACCTATAGATAACAAGTTAAGTACTTAAATCTCTAACCCATCAATGATCTCATCATTTTATAAAATCAAATAATTTTTTTTAGTTTATTTACATTATGCTGGTATATTTTTCTAAATTGAGTACCCTAATATAGTTCCTCTGAGGAGCTAAATTTACAGAGTAATTCTTAATGGATGGACAACAAGCTTTATGAAGGAAAAAGAACCCAGTAGCTATAGTTTAAACTCAAAGTATGTTGCCCAATTTTGTTGTAATTTTTTTCTTGAACAAGCCTGATAATTGGACTTTTGTACCAGTATTCCTTTTTTTAGAATAACTTGCATGAGAACTAAAATTTCTTTATGAAACTTTAAAAGGCTGTAACTTTATTTTACTCGAACTTTTTTCGTACAAGTTTTTTTTTTAAACTGCGCCCATCCCTGTAAAATAAAACCAAAGAATAGTCGAGGGCAATAATCTCTTGTAATTTACATATAAAACATGAAAATTAAAATGTTCAAAGGAAATTTTTTTTTTTTAGGAATTTAAAACATTACATTTAGCTGATAAAGCGATATTCTTATAGACGACGCATTTGTTTGGATAAGGATTAATATTAAAACCAATAAAAGAACAAGTCATTAATGTAAAAAAACCTTTCAAGATAGATATGGGCCATCATGGACTTTTTTGTAGAACTTTTTGAGATCTACAATTCTTATATACATAATTTTTATATATCTAAGGATTTAGGCAGAGTAACCGGAGAAAAGCTAAAACATAATAATTTTTTAACTCCGTGGTCCAGAAATAAGTTGTTTATTAATAGTTCCTCAGCATTAGAAATACTAAAATATAGCCTTTGTTACTCACAGATAAAATACATTTCTGATGGTGAAAGAATGCTTAAAATCGGTCCAGTAGTTTTTGAGTTATGTCAATACATAGAAGAATACAAATCTTTCCTCTTTATAATGTTAGTATAGATTGGAAGATATTTTTTAGTTAAAATAGATTGGTTATGTTGAAGGTTTGTGTGTATATCAGCGCAATATGAGTGTGCGCAATGTGTAGAGTGTGGAGTGTGCGGTGTGTGCGGTTTGTGCGCAGTGTGCGGTGTGTGAGGTGTGTGCGGTTTGTGCGCAGTGTGCGGAGTGTGCGCAATGTGTAGAGAGTGGTGTGTGCGGTTTGTGCGGAGTGTGCGGTGTGTGCGGTTTGTGCGCAGTGTGCAGAGTG